AGTAAATGGGGCCACGTGGCCATCGCTTTCAAAATAATACACGTTAGTTTCTCCATATTGAAATTGATTCTGTATTGTGTAGATATTGAGGCAATAACGAATAAACTGCTAAAAATTATTCTTCCGTTTTTGCAGCTTCTCACAGTTATTTAATTTTTTGTTCGGTTTATCTCAAAACCAGTATTGCCGACTGCCTCTGCAGCAACTCTGACCGGGATTCATCAACTCTCGCTGATTCGATTTCCGGCGGTGACGGATTTTTGACTAGCTACATACAGGAGGTCGAATCCAGTCGAACTATTAAAGTCTGTTGATCTGTTCAGTAGTTTTCTGTGGTTTGTCTGTTTAATATCAGTCGAATTCTTGAGTAGTTCCCAAACGAATGGGTCACAGACCGAGCGAGATCTTTCCTTCCTTATCCGTGCGCTATATTCTCTCTCTCTCTCCCTCTCACTCCATCTCTCTCACCCTCTCCCTCCCTCTCTCTCTCTTACAAACAGATACACTTACAAGCACTATTCTACCACACATGGTGGGCAACCGCTCGGGCACCTGGAGTTCGTTCCGGCAGGGGTGGTGCCCTGCGGGGAGAGATACCTGGCGGAAACCCCGCACGGGGGGTGTAGGCGGTCGCCGGATCTCATCATCCTGCGGGAGAGGAACAACGTCACCTTTCGTGATAGAAGTACAACGAACGGGACGAATTACCATGCAATTAGACGTGCCCGGAAAGATCAGTATTTCAGTTGTATTTGGCACGGTGTGGATATGTATCCATATTGTTGAGTTTTGATACATCGTCATGAATTGTGAGAATCGGGGTTGTCGCCCCGGACTCGCCATGGGTGCGTACAAGTATATGCAGGAACTGTACAGAAAGAAACAGAGCGATGTTATGCGATTTCTGCCTCGTGATAGGTACTGACAATACCGCCAGTTGACGAAATTACATCGTTGCCCAAGACCTTCCCGCCCTGACAGGGCGAGGAGACTTGACTATCGATGCAAACAAGGTTACATGATTTTCCGCATTCGTGTTCGGTGAGATGGTCGTAAACGCCCTGCTCCTAAGGGTGCTACCTATGGCAAACCCTAGAGTCATGGTGTGAACCAACGTAAACCTATACGTAATTTAGAGTCTGTAGCTGAGGAACGTGTTGGCAGGCGTTATGAAGGCCTGAGAGTTCTAAATTCCTTCTGGTTTGTCTAAGTACTTCCAGGTTATTCTAATCGATACTGCTTATAAGAGCATTCGTCATGATCCCAAGGCCAATTAGATTTGCCTGGCTGTTCATAAACACCGTGATTTGCGTGGCAAGACCTCTGACAAGAGGTCTAAGACACCAATTCAATCAGACAATTGGATAGTTCAAGAAGAGCTTGCTGAAAACGGCGAAACACACTGCAGCTGCGTAGGAAACGTTAATTATAAAAATTGCAATTTTCTAGACTATGTTTGTTTGAGTCCAAAGAGATCAACCAATCCTTGTTATTTTCCTGAAGAGAATTCAGGGAACAACTCTTCCAAGAAAACCTTCCGGCTGCAGTAAAGATAGAGAGCATCAACTTCGACGTATGGACACGGGAGTTATTGTCACATCTCATTTTGCTGCAGAGAATGTTTAATATCTGATTGGTTGTTGGCGTGAGTGGTACATCCAGAACATGGCAGGATAAGATTTGACGGCATTTGTGTGTAATTGGAACTTCGTTGTCTCTTCAATAGTGTTTATCAGTTTTCTTTGAAGACCGGTAATCATATTTCGGGTGGTGAATATTTACTCCTTTGTGATTCAAACGCTGACCAAACAAGGAATCGAAGACTTGACCCAAGAAATAATTCGAGATTTTAGACACAATTGCGATAGGACAACATAATTCTAGACATAATTGGAGGTAGGACATGATGTAAATCCTGGCGGGAAGCATAATTTGAAATTCTTGTCATAAGACAAATTTCAATATTCTAGACATAGTTCGAGATACTCTAACACGAAGCGTGACATACGACATAATTCGAGATGCAAACGTCCAACTGAAGCAACCGTATTGGTAGCGAATTGGTAGACCTGTATTTATGTCAAAAGTGAACTCAGGGGCGTTCTCATCGACGCAAAGCATGTATGCGCTGAAGCGTGTAGTGTCACCGCCTCCTCCTCCTCGGAGACCTCCGCCCGCGGCGTTGCCACATCGCGCGCCGCCGCGCTTGGCCGATGGTATCGGCCGCTTTTACGGCGTCTGGGAAATGTGTTTGTGTTGCCCTGATGAATAAAGTTGGGCGCCTCCGCTGCCGCCGCCGCCGCCGTCGCAGGTGCCGCCTGCCTCTCCGCCGCTTCTTCGGCTCCGCCCATAAAATGCGCATGGCCCTCGCCGCAAAGTTTTAATTATTATTAGGAATTCAGTGCGGCCGCGTTCTATCGTGTGTACATAGCACTGGCGCCCGCGGCACATAAAAATGCGCGTGATTTATGCGGGCTGAAAAGTTTGCTGAAAAGTGTTAAAATCGTGTAGTTGTTTTCGAGGCGCGGTTGCACAGTCATAAATATTACTATATTTGTTTGGTTATCGAAGGCAAACACGCCGGGCGGAGGGGCGCGGGGATTCGATGGTTCGGCGCGTGCGCGTTGGAGGCTGAGGGCGCCGGTCAGCGTATTTTGCGCGGCCGGGATTGGAACGGCGCGTAGCCCTCTGCTGGCGGGGAAAGTTGCGCGTGATAACGTGGGCGTCGAATTGCTCCGAAGTCCCAAAGTGAGATGCGGCGATCAAAGTTATGTATTTAATCGTCTAGATATGAGAAAGCTACGCTGAGTACATATCAAAAGCTATTAAATGAGATGCGATTTAGTGCCTTTGTTTTTCAGATTATCAATATGCTATAATATAATATGATATATTATATATAGTCATATACTATGATATATATATTATATATATGAGAGAGAGACTTTCCAGAGTCTATACGTAGATGAATGAATAGAGAGAAGAGTTTCGGCTCCAGATTTATCTATCGTCAAATTTATCTTCCTCGTTACGCGATCCTGCACTTTGGGACTTCGGACAATTCGACGGCCCACGTATCACAGCAAACTTTCCCCGCCGCGAGCACGCCGTTCCAATCCCGGCACGCCGCAAATCACCGCTGACCGCGCCTCAGCCCAATCGAGAACATGCGTCGAGCTACGTATACTCGCGTCTCAGCCTCTTCCTATCCACTACACGTGCCGTGGTGGACCTAAATCCATCCTCACACTCGACTCGAGCGAACACTGATACTGATCTTTAAAACACTTTTCAGCAACTTTTCCAGCCCGCATAAATCACGCGCATTTTGATGTCCGCGGCGCCAGTGCTATGTACACACGATAAGACGGCCGCACTGAATTCCTAAGAATAATTAACCTTGCGGCGAGAGGCCGCATGCGCCATTTTGTATGCGGAGCGGAAGAAAGCGGCGGAGAGGCAGGCTGCACCTGCCGCGCGGCCGGCCACGCCGGGCTAGCCCGGCACGCCGCCAACCTTTATTCATCAGCCAGGCCCAACACCCAAAACACAATTTCCAGAAACCT